CACACACACACACACACACACACACACACACACACACACACACACACGAGAGGGAGACAGAGACAGAGAACCAGAGAGAGGAAGGCCCAGTGTGTGGGCAGAAGGCAGGCTGGGCTGGCAGATTAGAGTGAAAGATATGTGGGAACAGATGTTTCTGGGACTTTAAGATAGGGCCATAGAAGGAGGCCCCAGGTTAGTTCAGACTCACCCAGGCGGCCATAACCTACAATCCCCACCTTCTGAGGGACTAGAGGGGCCATACTGGAGGCCATGGCCTTTAGCAGTGTCCGGTTGTGGGGGCTCTTCAGTGCTTGCTGGGCATAAGCAGTGAATGATCTTTGGAGCTTGACCCTTGACCCTCTCCACTGCAGCCAGAGGGAGGGAGCAGGGTGGTGGGGGTGGGGTGCTTTTCTGTGAGGCCTCTGCCCCACTGTGCTGGCTGGCACGGTGGCTTGGGAGCTAGGCCTCCTGTGGCTCTGTGTGCCCACTGCTCCACTGCCCCCTGTGGACCCCACACTCTCCCATGCCTCATGAAGTAGAAAAACCCCTTTGCAGCACCCCCTCCTCAGGCTGGCCAGCAGGTTGTCATGGAAACTGTATTTTGCTTGGGACAGAGGAAGAAGTGGGGACAGGAACTTGGGTCTTCCACCAGGTCCCTTGCAGACCTCTTCACCTGGCTGGAATGTCATGTGGTCCTTCATGCCCCACCTGTGGCCTGTCTTCCCCAGTCCTCCATGCCCCTCGGTCCTGGCCAGAGTCCCCTCCCCCACCCTACAGTCTAATTGCCCTTGAGCTCACCTCAACTGGCCTGTGCATCACTCATCACCTCGAGGCTACAGTCTCCTGCCTGCCTCTTTGTATTCCTGGTCCCCTGCACCCTCTCCCACCCCCATCCCATTCATGAAGAAGGGGCCTGCGTGGCTGGAGGAGTTCCTAAGTGCCCCAGAGCGAGTCCAGCCATCGCCTGGCAGGCCTGGCATAGGACAAGGCAGGCTGCAGCAGGCCAGCTCCCTGCCCCCATTGCCACCTGGTACAGCCGCAGTGTTGCCATGGTAACCAGGATCCTAGCCGAGATAGCTGCAGAGAAGGCAGGAAAGATGGAGAGAGAACTCCAAGTGCATGCGCAACAGCCCTGTCCCAGACTTCCTCAGCACAGAGGAGCCGGACATGGAGGGAGACAGGGCCAGACATCTGACAGTTGTCACAGATAAAGAAGCCACTTAGCGCTGGGACAGAGGAGAAGATGCAGTGGGGGTAGAAACACTGGAAAGAGGTGGGGACAGGGAGAAGGGGGCAAGGAGTTCTGGGGGGACTTCCTGCTCTCCCGTCTCTGGTGAAGGTGTGTACCTGGGGCCTTGAGTGCCCACATAGGGTCTCTATCTATGTATGCATGACAGGCCAGGTGGCCATGTGCCGAATGCTTGGCTCTGGCTACCTCTCTACCTCCCTAGGCCTCCTCAGACTTGCTGGGCAGTCCTGTTTCTCTGGAGGCTGAACCTTGGACAACGTGGGTCACTCTGAGATGTCACTAATATCTCCACTCCAGCACCACCCAGTCCTGGCCTAGCTGCACATTTTCCTCCTTGGTGATGGCAGATCCTGCAGGTGACTCTGCTCTCCATGTGCCCTGGTCTGTTTACAATGTCCCTCATGTGGCCCAGGCCTGTTTATTTTGTGTGCCCTCCCTTGTACAAACTGTCTCCTGACTAGCCAGTGATGTGTGTGAAATGGAGGAGACTCTCCTGTGGGGACACAACCACTAGCTCAA